GAGTTATAAGACCTGTATGTTGTTGTTGTTGTTGTGTGCCGTCGAGTCGGCCCCGACTCATAGAGACCCCTCCTTGGGTTTCCGAGGCAGTATCACTACGGAAGTAGGATTGCCCAACCTTCCTTCCGAGGAGTGGCTGGTGGGTTTGAACCGCCAGCCTTCTGGTTAGCAGTCAAGTGCTTTAGCCACTATGCTACCAGAGCTCCTAAGACCTGTAAGACCTGTATAGACTTGTATAACCACTACCACAATCCAGATCCTGAACAGTTCTATTATCCTCCAAAATTCCTGTGTGCTCTCCAACTCCCAACCCCTGGAAACCACCGATCTGTTAATTGAACCTATAGTTTTTCCAAGACAACCATGGTTTTAATCATGGTTGTAAGAAGCCCTGGTGGCACAACCACTAAGCACTTGGCTGCTAACTGAAAGGTCTGCGGTTCAAACCCACTCAGCAGCTTCTCAGGACGATCTGCTCCCATAAAGATGACAGCCTTGGAAACCCTACGGGGGCAGTTCTACTCTGTCACATGGGGTTGACATGAGTTGAAAATCCACTGATATCACCTAACAAGGACCACCACCTAGAGGCAAATTTCCTTAAACAAGCAGACACAAAGATCCCTTTCCCTTTTTGTTTTGCCGACTTTCCCAACCCATATCCTTAGCACCAAGGAGGGAGGCAAGGTGATCAGAAAAGGGCTTGGAATGGGAAGGATCACAGAGGAGTTTCATCAGGCCAACAGTCCCCACTGTCACTGGACAAGCATTCACTTCTATGCTGCAGGACAACTCAGTTCACCACCCCCAGAAAAACTGCGCAACGGTAGTGAGGCAATTAGGTGATCTGACATTTTCAATGTGTTATTTTCAACGTGACCTCAAAGTTGAAAAAGATCAGAGACTGCGTTGGAAGCAGAGTGAAGACTTGATTACTTCATATCAGCAGAGAGACTACAATTGCAAAGAAAGAAAGAAAAAATTAAATGCCAGATACCAAAGCAGTGAATTAACCATTTGTTGAGTCTGAGCATCACCAAGACTATTTCTGCTCCCTAGAACCTAACTCTAGGAGCTCTGGTAGCGTAGTGCCTAAGGCATTTGACTACTGATCAGGAGGCTGGTGGTTCAAACCCACCAGCCACTCCTTGGAAAGAAGGTTGGGCAATCTACTTCCGTAGTGATACCACCTCGGAAACCCAAGGAGGGGTCACTATGAGTCGGGTCTGACTCAGTGGCACACAGCAACAACACAGAACCTAACTCTGCTACTGACCTCATTGTCCATCGGATGAGCCTTCCGGTACATATTTTCATGTAATACAACTACAACAATTTTATAAAGGAAGGATCATTTCCCCAATTGTCAGATCGGAAATCTGAGGCACAGAAGGATAAGTGACCCAACCCACACGGGATTCCCAACCTAGTGTCTGTTCATCCCACTTCACCACAACTCTTATCTCTAAGTGCTAACTATCTAGCTGCCCTGGAGCCAACTCTGACTCACAGAGACCCCATGTGTCTCAGAGCAGAATTGTGCTCCACAGGGCTCCTAAAGGCTATGATCTTTCAGAAGCAGAATGCCAGACCTTTCTTCCAGCGCACCCATGGGTAGATTTGAACAGCAATCTTTCAGTCGGGTCACTGAGTGCACCAGCCAGCCTGGGGCTCCCATCTCCAGATGCATGTCTCTTAAGGCAACATCCATGTGGAAAATAAACCCCTTGGGGTGAATTTTCAGGCAGTCCAAACTAATGCCGAAAACGCTTGAATTTTGTTTTCTTCCATGGGTGATTCTGAATGGGCTCCATAAATGTCTCCCCAGGCAGGCAGCCAGCATGCAGGCCCACAGCCCTCATCGCTTCGCTTTCTGATACCCTCTCATTACTTTTAATTGCCTCTGAGCCTCTCTAGCATCTTGTATTTTGAATCCTAATCCAGAGCATTTCTCTGCCTCCCACTGGTCCAGTACAGCACTTCCTTCCCAGAGCTCTCCAGAGATGTGCCCCCAGAAAATGGAGTTGGTCGTCTGTAATGAATCCATTTCTATAATGAAGAGTATAGTATCAAAGAAGTCCCAGCATATTTACTTTGCAATCTTCACACAAAAGCAACATTACAAATGGAAGATTTTTCAAATAATGCCATCTCAAAGCCCCATTTCCTACAGTACTACGAACACCAGCAGAATTACCCTGACAGGAAGACAAAAACAACTTCCAGGGATGCTGGGTGAGAGACAATAGCTACATCAGCCCCATGAATGTTTAAAGTCAATGGAGCATAAAACTGCTTTTCTCTACTTACAGGCAGGCATCATTTTACAGAGAGGGGGAAAAAATTACCATTTGAACTCTACTAAAATCCATAAGCCCTCCCCTAATTTTCATTCTCCTTGAAATTCTCCACTAAGTACCATCAGAATGAAAATGACAAATCACTCTTCTGGGGGAACGGCTTCCTACCCTCATCAGAAAGGAGCTGGAGGAGGGAGGCTGCCTACTGGGGGAAAAGAAAACCGTCACCCAAACCTGCAGAACTCGTTGTGGTGACACACCTTGGGACTTGGGAGCCTCAGGGCTGACTTCAGGAAGGCCCTAAACAACCCCAGGTCGGGGTAGACATGGAGTAAAAGTCAAGGGACCAGGCAAGTGGAAGGAAGTAATACCTTCAGGGTATGTTTTAGTTAGTGGGCTGCAAGGGGGAACCTTTATCCTTCATTAGTTGTTTCCGTGGGGACTCGCTGGAAATGAGCCAAGCTTCTGTGAATAAACCATTGGACCTAATCCCACATTACATCTGTGTAATGCCTGACAAAGCCCGTTCCCATTATCTCATTTGATCCTGAAAACAATCCTCAGAGGAAGGCAGGGCAGGGATTATTTTTTCCATTTTACAAGTGAAAACACTTGTAAACTGATTTGCCAGGACCCATACACTCAGAATGTGGCAGGAACTAGACTTGAATCTAGGTCTTTGTACAACCTGTTCAGGGTTCGTAATTTTTACTCCACACAACAGCCTGATCAGAATATTCCCAGCCCCACCCAGTCCTCACAACCACCAGCTTAAATGGCCACTGGGAACTCATCAGGACAGTTGTAGTTATATTACCCTACACCTCTGTCCTGATGACCTACAGCTCTGGCTGGCGAGCTCTCTAGGGAAAAAAAAAATCATTTCATATAATTTTCTTGTAACAAAGACCAAAATGAATCCCAGAAGGATTTGAAAGAATCAACGTATTAGAAAAATCTAAGGAAAATAGAACTTAATAATTTCTGGAGGCAAGGAGATTCGAAATTTACAATCATGTTAGAAATATCAAAGGAAGGAGTTTTTTGAATTTGACTACATTAAGATTTGTTTTACTGGGGGAAAAAATGACTGTACAGGGTGAACAAAAAAACTGAAGAAATGTTTGCAGCAAAATATGAAAGAAAAGGGTTAACCTTGGGTCTTGTGGAAGGGTCAGCCAAATACATAAGAAAAGGTCAGTAGGAAAAACTTGGTAGGGAGATGACTGAACAGACCATTCACAAAAAATGGAAGCAGAGCTGGTTAACATTTAGAAAACTGCTCTAACTAAAATTTTAAAAATATGAAAACTGAGACATATCAATTTCACCTATGGAATCAGCACAAAAAAAAAAAAAAAATTAATACCCAAATTCTACTGAAGGTACAATGAATACTATATGCTCACACATTAATGATGGGAGAACAAATTTACCCAATTCTTTTGGAAAGCAATTTGCTACGTTTTTCAGAAGCTTTAAGATATTAATATCCTTTGACCTAAAACTCCACTTCTGAAAATAGGTCCTAAGGAAAGAATCATCAAAATGTAAAAAGTTTTATGCCCAAAAACGTTAGTCACACTTATTTACAATGGTGAATAATTTCAAACAGCGAACGTTAAAGAAATGGTTTAATAATTTGTTACAGCCACTTAATGAAAACTTACGCAATCATCAAATATTTTCAGCGCATGCACTAACACGAAAAACGTTTATGATGCAATGCGAAGTGAAAAGTATATAAAATTGTTATGTGTGGGTGTTTGTATAGCATACTTTTATAGAAAGGAAATATTTTTGTAAAACATGAACCACGTTTGAGTCTTCTTTCTGATCTTAAGATTTTTTGCATCATCTTATAATTCTTATTTTTATATGAACCTTTTTTTTTTTTCTTAAATGAACAAAATCAACTCTTTTTTGGCCATGCGGTGAATCCTTTTCTCGCGATGTCCCTGGAGGCTTGAGGTGTAGGCAGAGGGTAAAAGCTCAGGGACACCTACCTTAGGCCGATGAGCCTCAATGTTTCGCTTCATCCGCAAAGCCCTCCTCCTCTTCCCGCCCCCACCTCTCGGAAGCCAGACCCTCCACGGGGCCCGCCCCTCCCCCTCCACGCCCGGGCCCGGGTGACTGACGGTGTGCACGGGGGAGGAGCAGGGCGAACCCAAAAAGGGCTGACACGTGGGGAGGGAGGAAGTGTCGGAGTAGGAGGGGTTTGGTGTGTGGGTGGGTGTGTCAGTTAGTGGGAGAAACCAACCCAAGCCACCTCAGAGTCTCCATTTTCTTCTGCTGCTCATCGGGCCAGGTGGAGTAGGAAAGCTCTCCGCACGTTCGGGATCCCCTCATAGGCAGATTCTGAAATCAGAGAGGAGAAGGCTTCAGCCACTACCCTGCGCTGCCCCGGACGCTCCGCGCTCCAGCGCCGCCTCGCGCGCCCCTCCCCGCCCTGGCGCTGTGGTAGGATCCAGCACTACGTCATCCATTGTTTACAAATCAACCCGAGCCGGTAGGATTCCGGCTCCAGCGGCTGAGACCGAGGAACCGCAAGCGCCCGGCGGGCTTCGGCTTCGGCTTCCGTGTCGTCCCCGGCTTCGGCCTCAGGACCGCGCTCCCGGCTCTGCCGCGGCCCATCGAGCCTGGAGAAGAGCCTAGCCGCCAGCGATTCCAGCAGAGCTCCGGGTGGCCGGGCAGGGGGCCATGCCGTGCCGGAGGCAGGAGGAAGAGGAAGCCGGTGAGGAAGCGGAGGGGGAGGAGGAGGAAGAGGACGACAGCTTCCTCCTGCTGGAGCAGTCGGTGACGCTGGGCGGATCGGGCGAAGTGGACCGACTGGTGGCTCAGATCGGCGAGGCGCTGCAACTCGACGCCGCGCAGGACAGCCCGGCCTCCCCGTGCGCGCCCCCGGGGCCGCCACTGCAGACCCCGCGGCCCCCAGCGGCGGTGCCAGCGGACAAGGCCCGGCCTCCGGCCCTGCCTCTGCTTCTGCCGCCCGCACCGGTATCAGCCGAGGCCGCGGGCCCGGGAGCCCTGCGCTGCACACTTGGGGACCGCGGCCGCGTGCGAGGTCGCGCTGCGCCCTACCGCGTGGCGGAGCTCGCCGCCGGCCCCAGCGCGCTGCCTGGGCCGTGCCGACGAGGGTGGCTTCGGGGCGCCGCCTCCTCCCGCCGCCTGCAGCAGCGACGCTGGTCCCAGTCTGGGACACACGCCGGCGACGACGACCCTCACGATGACCGGCTCCTGCAGCAGCTTGTGCTCTCGGGGAACCTCATCAAAGAGGCCGTGCGGAGGCTCCAGCGAGCTGTCGCTGCGGCCGCCGCTGTTGCAGCTACAGGCCCCACGGGCGCCCCGGGGCCCGGAGGCAGCCTCAGCCGACCGGATCCCTTCGCCTTGCAGGCCTCAGGCGCCCTGCATTGACCGGAATCCCGTAGAGGAGGAATCCGAGGCTGCTGCGTAGATCCGACGGCGTCTTACCCACTAGCCCAGAACTGCAGCCACGGCTGCCATTGTGGGAGCCACTGCCTGGGCTGCGGGGAGGCGCGTGGGGAGACACCTTCAAGCCAAGAAGTTACCGCTCCTGCGAGGCTGTCGGAGACAACTTGAGTGGAGAAACTGACGGGCCAGGGCGCGCCTATGCTGCGTGAAAATTTCCCCGGCCATCCCAGGGCCAAGGACTTAGGATAAACTGGGAGAACTATGGCAGCTACTTGCATCCTCTTGTACCTGACTTAAACCTTGTGGGCGTCGTGTGCTTGGATTGTTTAAGGATAGGGCTCGGAGGGGTAGGAATCGTGAGGGCTTTATAACAATACTTGAAAACTGAGGACACGCGTACATTTTATTTTCCGGTGGAGGAGCTTAGTGAAAATGGTGCTACAATTTCTGTACAAAGAAATTCCGAGGAGAAGAAGAATGTAAAAGCTTGGTGGCGGGTGGCTTGGCCTCATCCCCTTTCTCCCACCTAAGGGAGGTTGGAGATCTGAAGTCCGGTTAGGGGGCGGGCTAGCGGTAAAGACTTTGGATGGTGGAGAGAGTTAGAGTTGAATGTGGACTTTAAATGGCTTGACCTTGCCACCTGTGTGTCAAGGTCACGGTTTGCTGTAACTGGAAGGCTGTGAGGCTCCTGGGAGAGCTAACTTGCCAGGGTGTCTTCTTTTTCTCTTGTTCCAAGAGGAGCTCTGGCTACGCTTTGCTACCGCTTGGAGTCTCCCGAGGACACAGGCGCAGGCGCGGAGAGCGATGGTGTGAGGAGAGTTCTTTTTTCTGTGCTTTCTTTCCAGAACTCCTCCTCCCGGGAGGCCACTCTTGGCCAAGCCAGAGCTTTCTCAGAAACAGTCGTAAACAATCTTTTGAATAGCTCTCCAGTCCTCCTTGCCTGCCTTATCCCACCCTTTCCCTTGTCCATACTGGATGGGTGAGAGACTGGGCAGATGTTTTCTGCTCTGCTCTGGCCCTCTGTGGACCCATGGGCCTGAGCCTCCGTGGTTCCTCACTGGGCACACTTTCCTTCTGCCGTGCCAGCTTTTCTTTGTGAGTGACTGAAACCGTTTTTTTTTTTTTTAAATGTGACTCTCCGAGAGGAGAAACCGCTGGCTTTACCGTTGTGAAACTTGACGGCACTTTAGAAGGGTGCCCCCCCTAAACTTTAAGGTAGCTAAACCAATTTTTTAAAAAAGATTCAATGGCTTGCTCATCCTCCAGATGTAGCTGTTGATGTGCACTTCGCAACGGAGTGTCTAAAATTGTGGTGGTCCTGATTTATAGGATTTCTTAATTAAAAAAAAGTCTGCTGAATAAATTTTTTTTGTTTTGTTTTGGAGCATGGTTTGGCTTTTTGGTGGCAATTGGGAAAAAGAAAAATACATATGAGATACCCTTAGTGAAAAGTGTGGTTTGGAAGACGGGGTCCTGGGCAAAGGGTTGGAGCCAGCTCTGCTCAGCACAGAATGCTGGTAAAGCCTCAGTACTTGAGGTTTTCTGGATTGACGGTTCACAAGATCAGAAAATTAAGTCCCGTTTTTTAAAAGCTGCTAGATAAACTTCTACTTCCTTCGTGGAAAAATAACATATTCCAGAAATGTTTTCTGGGCTGGAGGGCAAAAAGACCAAGTGACTTGTGTCTGGAGAAGAGTTTTTAGTTAGATTTTTTTTTTTTTTTTGATATGAAGAATGAGGTGGGCAAAGGCAAAGCTGGCCTGTTTTCTCTTTCCAGACTGACCCAGACTGTGGCCTAGGGAAAGGAAAACAGTGTTACAGTGATTCATCTCACAGTTTGCACAGACAGGGCTTAGATTGACGGAAGCCATCCCCACCTCATACTTCCCTAAGCCCCATTTTCTCCAGGCATGGAGTCTTTGCTCAGCCCCTTCCTACTTGCTCCCTTGCCTTCTTCAAGGAAACTTTTCCTGGTGGAGCCCAGCTCTGCTAACCAGCTCCCCTTGGGGGCCTACCTTTTTACTTAGCATCTCTTCCTCCCCTCTACACCTACCCTCTGCCCTAGCCCACTCCCACCCTGCGGCCACAGGAGGAAGATAGCGCTCAGCGAGCCAAGAAGGCACTCAGCCGTACTGTCCACCGCTGTGCCATAGTGGTGAAGTCACTGCTCTGAGCTCCCGTCTCTCATTCGTAAAACAATACTTCATAGGGTGCTTGGGAGGGTTAAATGAGAACTTGAGGTGACTGGGAGACTTTAAGTACTTAGAAAATGATAGCTGCTAACTCTTGGCATCCCCACTCCCCCTTCCTCCTTCAGGGCCCATATCTGTCTCTTAAATGTGCCCCATTCACTCTCATGAACACTTCAGCCACCATGAGCACAACTGTTCCCAGCTGCTTCCTGAACTTCCGAAAGGCCACCTTCATACATCTTCTGAAGGGTCCCTCTGCTTTCATCATTCTGGGTGGTGATATTGTGTGCTTAGATGCTCCAGAACTTACCATTCTGGGTGTTTTATATCATTACATTATCACATTGTATCATGATTTTATGTGCTATGAGATAGGCATTATTATCTCCATTTTATAGGCGAGAACACAGCCCAGAAGGCTAAGTGGCTTGCCTGAAGTCACTACTGTCTTAAATGGGGAACCTGGGATTTGAACGCAGCAGTCTGGCTCCTGCTTCCCCCCATACGGGACATACCGTACCACCTGCTTCTTGGATTTAATAAAGGTTCTTAAAAGTATCCCACAAACCCCAGCCCCAACGTGGTAGCATCACCATTCTCAAACTTTTCATGTGCACTAGCCACATAGGTGCAAAACGGGACGAAGCCAGGCTTAAGAGATTCTGATGGAACCCGCAGGCAGGTTTGGGGCTGAGACTCTCATAAGGCAAAAAAGCACACGATAGGTACAGACAACAGGTGGTGCGTGGCTGCTTTTTCTTAGAACCTTGAGTCCTCCGTGAGATGAAGACATACAGCCAGACGGTGAAGTCTCTCCCAAGGCAGATGTCCTGTGGGTCTGAGACATGGTCAGAACAGCACTCAGAAAGATGACTACAAACAAGGAGGCAAGGTCTATGGGAGCTGGGGAGAAAGGTGACCACTTGAGACCCATTATGGACAGGCATACTGTCAGGCATCTTTTTTTTCTTTATTTTATTTTTTTTTAATTGTGCTTTGGGTCAAAGTTTACAGAGCAAATTCACTTTCCATACAGCAGTTCATATATACTTTGTCTCATGACATTGACTACAGTTTCCCACAATGCAACAGCTCCCCTCCCACTTCCTCCCCATAGTTACCTCTTCGCTGTGTCCTTCCCTCCATGCGCTCCTGCCCCCTGAGCTATGTCCCTGTATACATAGCCCTTCTATTCTCCCATGATTGTTCTCTCCAAGGACGGTATCTACGTAGTGTAAATGTTCACTTCATATGCCTGTCTTTTGTTTGGCTGGAAGCCACATGTGTGGGTTCAATTCCAGACCTGAAGGGCAGCTAGGGGCCATAGTTTCAGGGGTTCTACCAGGAGCTATCAGCCCAGCAAGCCTGGTCCCTTTTTTTTCCAAATGATTTTGAGTTTTGTTCTACATTGTTCTCTCACTCTATCCAGGATCTCCTATATAGATCCCTCTCTGAGTGGCTGAAGGAGCTCTAGTAGCATAATGCCTAAAGCACTTGACTGCTAACCAGAAGGCTGGTGGTTCAAACCCATCAGCCACTCCTCGGAAGGAAGATGGGGCAATCTACTTCTGTAGTGATACTGTCTCAGAAACCCAAGGAGGGGTTTCTATGAGTTGGGTCTGACTCAATGGCACATAACAACAACAACAACTGAGTGGTTGACAGTGGTAGCTGGGGACCATCTAGTTCTTCCGGTCTCATAGTTGTATAGACTGAGAATCACATGGTGTACTAGCCACTTGGACTAATTGTTTCCATGAATCTTTGGTTTTCTTCATTCTTCATTGTTCTGGATGAGGAAAGACCCATCATTGCATCTCAATGGCTGCTTGGAAGCTTTTAAGATCCCATTTGCTACTTGTCAAAGTAGGAGGTGGAACAATGTTCATGTGTAGTATGTTATTGCAATTGAGCTTGATGCTTTAGGCACCTTTTGCAAGATATTACTTCACTCGTTACAATGATAAGAGATAGGAATTATTGGTCGTAGAGCCAGGATCTCAACACATGGTTCTCCTTAAGTTGATCCTCTTCCCTCTTATCCAAATCTAGCCCCTGCTACCAATCCAGCCATTTGAAATGGGAGTAGGGAGCATTGTCTCACTCCATGGCCTGTTAAGTGTCTCTGTTTCAGGGAGGCACTGGCTGTTTCCCAGGTGTTGTAGCCTGGGGTAGCTTCGTCCTGGAACTCAGCCTGGAGGTGTGCCTTGCCCTTTGGTGTTGATGGGCATAGAACCCGGGGATACAGGTGGGGGCAGAGTTGGGACTAAGTCATGTTCTCCAGGGGCCAAGACCTAGGTTTTCTTGAGAACAGTCTGTGAGTGTCCAGCCTAGAAGACTAGAGTAATAGGGAAATGACAAGGAAAAGCTGGTTTGTGTGTGTATTTGAGAGGGCAGGGGGTTGGTGAGGGGTTTCATGTAGAAAATTACAGGGACAATAGCCTAGCAGATAGAGATCAGAGACGGAGATAAAGATTTGGTAATTAAAGCTCAGAAGGGTGGCTAGAGCCTGAAAGATGCCATCAGTTGAGAAGTAGTAATGACACTAGCTAATGATCATAGCGCTTACCATGGGCCAGGTTCTGTTCTAAGCATTTTACAAAGACCAGGTCATCAAACATATATATGTGGGAGAGATCATGAATAGAAGGAGCAGACAGAAAGAAAGAAGAGAGAAGCCAAGGGAGGCTGAAGGGTGACCTAGAAGGGGTGGTGGTCTGCATATAGGTGTGTCTACACAAACACACAGAGCTATGTCTATATTATGTCTTTAAATCCCCAGTGGTCAGG